GTTGCCGTTGGAGAGGCAGCGAGGTGAAAATTTTTAAGTTTGCGTTCGTTTGAGTGAAGAAAATGAAAAGCAATACAGACTGGCTGTCCGACGGGGTCCAGATTAATACCCAAGCCCTGCTGATGTAGCTCGTTCTTCACTTTCGACAGTACACCATTCAGAAGATTGATCATGAACTGAGGTTGAAGCTAAAAACAAATCCATTGTCACAGAAACGCGCAACAGACTCCGTGCATTAGCCAACAATTCCTCCACATTTTATTCTCTGTAAGGAGCCAAGGTAACCATAATAGCCCGAAAAGTGACGCATTGTCGATTAACAGCCACTCGCTTATAAAACTGCCAATGCTGCTTGTGCTGACAAGTGCTTGAAAGCGCACCGTAAGTTCACTTCTAGCAAATGCAGCGCTTGCCCACCACTGGAACCTAGTAGCGAGTTATGGAGAGACATACCTTTTTTCACTCGCAAAATCGGGCAACAATTCTCAAGCAAATGGCAGAGCTACTTACTACCACTTCGAGCCATGGGCTTTCTCCATATTCCTCAGTTAAATAAAAACAAAAAAAAAGATTGGCACATTTACAACTGAGAAATGAGAAGAAAACTAACCGAAGCCTGCTTTCCGTCCCCGCTAAGCGAAACCAGCGAATCTGGGTTCGCTGCAAAATTGAATAGTACAGAACAGCATATGGTTATATCATAGAAACAGTGACGCCTGCGCAGCGGGAAGCAAAAAAGGACGAGAACTTCTGATAATCAGTAGATGGGATTGAATGCAGGAGCTAAATCTAACCAAGACCGACTAGAAAGTACGATACATTGTTTGGTGGAATAAAAACCAGATGGTGCTCCCTTTCGGGGCCAGTATCTCTGCTGCTCGTATATCAGCAATATAAACAAATTACCAGACAATAGAGCATCCTGGACCATCGCTGCTGATTCCCGCTGATGCTGATGACTTCTACTGAAATATTTGACTGGTTGATGGCTAAAACCAAAAAAAAAAGAAACCCTGTTAGTAACTTGGACCAGGGTTTCCAGTTCGATCATGCGTTTCTGCGCTAATGTTGAAGCAGTCAGGTCTTTAGTAGTATGAACGGTTGTTGCTTTATAGTTCAAAATGGTTTTTTCCTGCAAGTAGGGGAAAAGGCGAGCCATTTGGGATAGCAATATTGCACTGAATTGTCGCATAGATCTCAATTTCTGGCATCATTTTGAAGAGCAATCGCTCACGGAAAAAAAACGCACCCTCAACTTCGCTGCATGCATATGTGAAACACAAAAGAACGAAGGCTGATTTTAGCTTTTAGTGGCATGCAGGAAAAGCTGGAATT